AGAGATATTATCAAGTTTATTAGACTTTGAATAGGAACTATTGCTAACAGACGTGCTGCACTACAGTGTTCAGTGAAGCGTGCTGTTACTGATGAACCCACCCCCAAACCTTCCATCACTCTTCTCATCCTGTTCTCCGTGCTTTCTTTCAGCTCCTTATCACACTTTCTTTTTTCTCGCCTGCTTGTCCCCACTCCAAATCCCTTCCCGATTCTTCTGCCTTTTCTAAATTCCCTGCTCACCTTCTCCTCCTGTCTCTCTCAAGCCTCCTTTTATGAGCTCCTCTACTTTCGTTTTTCACTTCTTTTGTCCTCATTTCTCCCCCTCTCATTATCATTTCTGTCTCTGTTTTAATCCCACGTTTCTTTTACTTCTTCAATGCCTACTTATCTTCCCAACCCTTGCCCTCCTACCTACTTTCTCCTACCCCCCCTTGTCTCCCACTAATTTTTTCCTTCTCTTGGCAGTGTTCAGCCTGTTGTTCCATTGTGCCTACTGGGGCCTGTATGCCAGAGATGGAGTTGGCAATTTCAGTCTAAAGATTCTTGGTGAGTTTCTTCCTGAATCGGTCATTGGCTGAATGACTGACACCAGCTCCACATTGGTAAATCACTCACAGCTCGAGCAGAATGGATGAGTGGACGATGATGGATGGATGTGAGCCTGGAGAAATAAAATGGCTGGTTTGATGGGCGGAGGCAGGATCATGCATGACTTATGTGACTGTGTTTTTTGTGTGTGTGTGTGTGTGTGTGTGTGTGTGTTTATACAGTATGTGTAAATAGTCATGCATTAACAATGATAATGTGTCCAATTTTGTTTTAATTGTTATAAAAATATATATACTGTATTTGAGTAGTGTCGCACGTGTGAGCATGGAGAGAGTTATTAAAAAAAGAAAATTGTCTAGTTTTGTTCTTTGTTTACAATATAGGCAGTGTGATTAGTTAAGAGCAAAGTCATACAAACTGAAAGAGGCAAAAATAAATTGTACAAGCCACCTAGTTAATGTATGTTCACACAACTAAAACAACACTTTATATTTAAATTATGCTTACCTAATATCGTGCCCATGTACTGAAGGATTTGTAGGACATCTTCCTCTGAACCAGAATTTTCCAGCAACTGGCACTTCTCTTTCTTCTCTCGTCGCCTTTCATCACTTTCAACATCCTCACACCTGTCAGGTGCACAAATCAAGCAAACAAAGCCACAATCAACTGTGTGACGAGGAAGAAAAGCTTAATTTTCTAAACCTTATTTATTAAACATGTTACATAGATACTGTACATAAGGAGTGATGGCTGGGTTAAAAGCATAAAGGGAAAAGAATGATTTAAATAATGTTTTTGTTTAAAACATGGTGGAAAAAGACCATAAAGTTTTTTTTAGCATTAGTCTTTTTAGCATTTAGCATCAGTCTGTAAATTTTCAGAGCTGCAGTGCTAAATGTTTCAGTCACTGAACCCACATTCATGCACACTAAGTGGCAACAACTGAGGCTGTAAAGCCGAGCAGTCCCAAACCAGCATCTATGCATCTGTATGCAGTCTGTGCTGTGTGAGCAGCGTTTATAAGTGTCTTGCCTGACTGAATGCACTCTACTGGGTTTTACTGTTTGGACAGGATGACAAGATGTGAAGGAGTGCATCTAGGTGTGTTTGTTTGTTGAGTTTATTTTATTTTTCTTGTGTCTGTGAGACCATAACAGGGGAAAGGAGGAGGACTCGGCAGGAAGAACAAGGAGAGCCAGAGACAGTTCTCAAAGACTCAGCAAGTGTGTGATGTGTGACAGACAAGTGTGAAACAAAGGCAAACGTGTGGGAAATGAATGACAGGGACACCTGAGATACAGCAGCATGTGAGCAAAGAGAATGTGAATAAAGTTGAGAATCTAACTTTATGCAGGATTGGYCATACCTGATCTCTTGTTGTCTGTAGAATTGTAGAGTTCGCTGAAGAGCCTCCTGAACAGTCTGTGTCTGCAAGACAAAGTGAAACACAGACGTGGATTTATTGCAACTTAAAGTGTTTTTTTATTGAATAACTGTTTATCTTTTGATTGAATCTACTAACCTCAAACCATTAATAATCTACGTTTTACATATTGATGTCYTCTGAAACTTTCATTTTTTTCTTGTCTTAAAAACATGCAGTGCTTTGAATAAACAAGTAGTTATTAGCTGTAAATTTAGCTAATGACATGTTTTTATGATGTTGTTTTTGTATTTGTGGATGTTAGCCAAGAGATTAACAATATATTATTAAAAGTGGGAGGAATGAAAATCAAACATGTGAACATTTTCCAGATCATATGGGGCAGAGTGTATCCTTGCAGTGCAATAACAACCCAAAGTAAATAACGATTACAGAAACAAGGGTTTTGAGTTGCGCCGAGGTAAAATGTCCCACAAAACCATTCAGTGCAACAAACCACAGCAAACTAAAACCTAGCAGTCATATTTAATGAACATGCATCTCCAGGAACATGTTGACAAATCACAAGGATAAAGTCTGAATCTCATTTAGCAGCTCAGATCCTTAAAGTGTGAGAGATCCTATTTTTACTGGTGAAACTCTGAGCTTTCTGAATTTTGGCAAAATAAAATACAAGATATTTAAAATTTAAATATTTATAAGTGGATGTTTTGGGGAAAATTAATCAAGCTCCATACAAAAAAGATTGTGTTTGTGTCATACTGTATTTAGTGGCTTATTTATTCGTTATAAATCTCTTAAAAGAAGAAGAAGAAGAAGAAGAAATGAAAGAAGACAAAATAATATTTCCAGATTATCAGAAGACACACAGCTTGATGGTCTGTGTGTGCAGCTGGCGCATTTTGCGTTACTGGCAGCCTAAGCCTTAGTGGGCGGGTCCAATGTGATTATCTGCGATACGGCTGAAATGCACGGCTGTTGTGACAATACTGGAACACAGCGTGCCAGCTGGAGAGGTCATTCTGAGGCCTCGAACCACTCTGGACACATACAGGACAGATTTCCTGAGTGTTTCTGCATTTATTTCTGTGTAAAACAGACGGACAGGAAGTGGCAAAGACAGAAACTTGTAAATTGTGGAGTCAAAGGGCAAAAAATACATGAAACACTAGCCACACATCAACAAAGCCACAACAGCAATGTGATGGGTAATTTATGCAAAGGTCTAATTTTTTTACGGATGATGTCAGACAAAAAAAATCCTCACTGCTTTTTGTTTTTTTATATAAACCTAAATGTGTCTCATGAAACTGGGTGTCCCTAATGCAGCTATTCATTTACCACACGTACCAAAATGTTTGCAGCACAAGAGGAAAAGCTGTTATTACGCACGCACAAACATACTGTACACATACATCACCATTAGTTTGTCACATCTATGGCATGTTGACATGTCTGGACAGCCCAGCACACATTATTCTCAAGAGTCCCACCAACCTGTTTAGATGGCAGCATTCAGTTAACACAGAGGTCTGCAACCGTTATGTTCAAAAGAGTCATTTCAACTATCTGTCCTACTGGAGTCACAACAAACACTTGGCATGTTAAGACCAAAGAACACCAGAAGGAATAATGGTAGAAAATAAGCTAAATACAAATACTTGAAGATAATGAAGCATTACGTTGCATTATAAAATCTTAAAAACCAAAAACACAATCTTTTTGTACGCAAGCAGCTATATGCTTTGTTAGAGGAAAGCCTAAAAATACTATTTCTACAATGCCACATTTCCACACCTTAGAATTTATAAAACCCAAACTGATGTGCAAAATGATCATTCCTGCATTTCAATTAATTTGCRCAAAATGTGTTGTAAAATGTGAGCTTTCAGGTGAATTTAGAAAACGACTATGTTAATAAAATGCAAAAACAAAATAGAAAACAGGCTAACAAATATGACCTCAAGAGTCCAACTGATCATTGAATTTTAACACATTTTAGTAAAAACTTGTCACAATGAGCTGATTCTGGTTCTGAGGTGATGGGAAGCTTTGCATTCAGCGCATTTAACTATTGGACATCTTCCTTAAAAAACTTAATTAACAGTGTTTCATTTGATTTTCTTTTACCAGATTCATGACAAACGTGGGGGGCGGGGGATGAAGACTTAGGAGATTATTTTAGGAAGGTGCTGAGAAACCCTAACCTACTTGTGTTATTGGTTTCATTCTGCAGAAAATGTATGCACATCTCACAAAATGTTTGGACATGTAAACTGCTAAAAGTTTTGTTTCTCCCACATTTACATATAAAATAACCCAGGTTTATGTTACACGAAGCCACTTCACTTTTTGACTAAGACCGAGTTGGAGGTTCAGTTAGAGCTTTTATATATTATATTGTGTTTCTTTATTGTATTTGTATCTAGGATTTTTTTTTGTGTTTTTTTATACAAGTTTTGAATGAACTGTAAAACGCTTTGGTCAGTTTTTGTTGTTTTAATGTACTATATAAATAAATTTGACATTGACTTCAGTGGGTCTGATATGTAGTTCCAGATGCGCAGGTTAGCGTCTAGTAACAAACTCAGTTTTACAACACACTCATGGAAATAAATGCAAAGTGTCTGACTAAATCAAGCTTTAAAAACCTTCACATGATCATAAGCGAAGACTGCTAAAAGATGGTGGTGTCTCTTTTTTTACAATAAAAGGCTGTTGAGTCATGCCTTACTCCACGAAACGAGAACCTGTATTCCATGAACACAAACACACGAGCACAGAGTGCATTAAACCTGCCCCCTCTCCCTTTTACTGCTCTGATTTTATCCAATTTTACAGATTGACTATTAAATTGGACTATAATTGGACTGAAGCGGACTAGCCTGAAAAAGAACAAATTGGGTTAAATTAGACTATATCTAACTGGACATGAAATGATGTTTAAAAACAAAACTGAATATATTTTTTATCAAATTATTCCTTTAAGTGTCCGGTATGAACTGGTGTGTTCTGGGCTCAAGAAGCAGTGGATGCTGTTGCTTAAATACAGCTCAAAACCTGCCAGCATTTATAAAAAAACAATAAATAAAAAAACACAGGAACTCATCCACAAGATGAGAAGAATCCCAGTAGAAATAAATGAGTGCTGAGTGACAGAGTGGGAACAATTTCCATCCTTATTTTTAGGTTGGTTTTATGCACAGTGCAGCTATTATTGAGATTATGAAGCACATTATGGTCTTCAAACGTATGGAAATGTTATGTAAAACTCGCTTTTCCTCCTCTGACAGATTTACTGTACATCACCAATAAACACATTTGTTTTAACACCAACTAGTGAATACACTGGTTCAAAATAAGCTAAATATAATCAGCAGATGAGCCGTTCTCACATCAAAGCAAATTATTTCCAGAAAAAGAGCCTTCAACAGACAGAAAATAATGCAAACCATTTTGAAGGTTACAATGCTGCATATTTACTGTAAAATAAAGTAACTATTGTGCAACAAAAACCTACAGATGCCAACAGTTTCTGCTTTTAGGTTTCACAGGATTTTAAAAGCCGACTATTTCATCTCAAGATCGTTTGATTGGGGAAAATAAGCTTTGTTTTTACCATTTTGCAAAAAAAAAWTTTTTTTTTCATGAGATAAGATGATTATAGTAAAAAAAAGGATTATGGTGACATGATTCTGTATCGCTCTGGATTTGATCTCTTACAGTAATGTGCTGATCTGTGATGGATGTTCTTTGGTAGGCTTAAATAAGTTTTCTGAAATGGGTTCGACTCAGTCATTTTTACAGATATTGAGCCATAATTTGAAGTGGTAGTTGACAGTCAGTAATCCTGAACATATTCCCTGAGCTTCAGTAAGAAACCAAGCATTGTTAGATAACAACTGACTTGAGATAATGTCACGAAATATATTGCTTAGCATGTTTATTTATTTATTTATTTTTGACATCTGTACAAAAGGCTCAAAGTTGAAATGTCTGTCATCATGTCGGGACTGAAAGTCTTTCTTTTTTCCTGCCCAGTGTCGAMCGTAAAACCAAGAAGCATTTTGATTTGACTTTAACGAGTGATGGATGTATACAGTATATGGATGGTATAAAACAAACAAACAAAAAAGGATACACAGGATGTGTCCTTTTATTAACCCAGTCCACTGAGCATTGCAATCAAGAGCTAAGTGGTTACACAACAACAGTTTCAACTCGACAAGTACACTCCAGTTTTTTTTTTTTTCTGATTTGACCATGAGCACAAAATGCTAGCAAGAACAAGTCTACTGGCAGCAAAGTGTTGGAATTTAAAAAACAACAACAACCAAAGCCCAAATTAATTTTATACGAAGCCTCAATCATAATCCAGACCAACCACAATGTGGTTTCAGTTGCCAAATGCCAGAGGGGCAGTTAAATAACGCCACTGTGCAAATGTGGAAGTTAATAGGCTGCCAATGTGGTTGCCCCAGCATCAGGACATGAGCAGACCTGACTGTAATTACATTTCTGTAGTAGATAGAGGCAACATTAGGTCCTGTCAGATGCCATTTGCCTAAAGCCAACCAGTCACTGAATGCCTGAGACGTGTTATAACTGAGGAAAGCTGTAAGCTTAAACTCTTAAGGTATTTAGGGATCAGTCTCAGCTACTAACACACCAAAGTTTACCTCAGTATTTGTAAAAAGTTTTAAAAATATGGTCATTTTTGACAGAATTTACCCTAGGATCTCCGATCAATGTGACAGATGAACAGTAAGTCTGCTGAGGGCTCCCTGGCTCATCTTATTAGGACTTGTCCAAATGTGTATAGTTTCTGGCGTGACATATTTATGTGGTTTTCCAAAATGTATGGCTGTGTTTAAGCCTGATCATAACATTGCTTTGTTTGGATACTCTTTGTCTCTTCTTAAACCTAGCCGTTTGGTCCAGACTATATGGAGCGATAACTTCGAAGAGACTGAGCTCATGTTCATGGAAAGCAGAAGCTGTGCCTTCATTCAAAGAATGGCTCTCAGTATTAACTGGGGTACTG